TCACTGTCTGGTGGTTGCTGTCTGGGGGTCACTCTCTGGCCGCCACTGTCTGGCCGTCGCTGTCTGGCGGTCACTGGCCATCACTGTCTGGTGGTCGCTGTCCGGTGGTCACTGTCTGGCCGTCGCTGTCTTGCGGTCGCTGGTGGTCACTGTCTGGTGGTCACTGGCCATCACTGTCTGGTGGTCACTCTCTGGCCGCCACTGTCTGGCCGTCGCTGTCTGGCGGTCACTGGCCATCACTGTCTGGTGGTCGCTGTCTGGTGGTCACTCTCTGGCCGCCACTGTCGGCCTGACCCACAGCAGCTTTCTGAATCCTGCAAAACCATTATACTTGAGAAGTGTCCTCAGCAAATCCATGAGTTGCACCGAAAACTGCAGCGCCTGCCGCCAGGCTCGGTCCACAGAAAGGACCCAATTCTCCACCACAATGCCTGGCTGCACATCACACAACCAACATTTCACAAGCTGAACGCATTGGGCTGCGAAGTTTTGCCTCATCCGCCATATTCACCTGACGTCTCGCCAACCAACCGTCACCTCGGCAGCCTCTCGACAACTTTTTGCAGGGAAAACGCTTCCACAACTAGCAGGATGCAGAAAATGTTTCCAAGAGTTTGTCAAATCCTGAAGCACAGATATTTATGCTACAGGAATAAACTTATTTCTCACTGGCAAAAACGTGTGGACTGTGATGGTTCCTATTTTGACGAATAGAGGTGTGTTTGAGCCCAGTTGTAATGATTTAAAATTCACAATCTGAAACCACAATTACTTTTGCACCGACCTAATACAAGAAAACGCCTCATGTCTATTCGTGTCCATTCGGTCAAACCACACGCAGCCGCCTTCCGCGCTGGCCAGAAACAGCTGTGCATCTGCAGTCTCACCGGGTTCAGCCTGTGATCCACTCACCCCGTCCACCTGGCCATTCTGTCCCTCATCCTCTGTCTCCACCGTGGTTTTCCCAAATACTCTCTCTGCGAAAGGCAGCAGGCCCAGAGCTTCACAGAGCATTTCCCTTCCCTGTCGAGGGGACCCTGGGGCAGGTCCTTCAAGACCATTTGCGGGATCAGGAGACGGGCATGGGAAGGCTGAAGAGTGTGTCCCAGTCACCCAGCTGGCACCCGGGGCAGCCAGACTTCAAACTTGGTCCCCAACTGCAGGCCACGTGATCACACACCACACTCCTGCCCTGCAATCCACGCCTGTGGGCTGTGGCCCATGTGACGGTTTTACGTCGGCTCAGGAGGTGAAGGTCCCGTTATTCAGTGGATGTGCGGCGTTATTCAGTGGATGTACCGTGTCTGCAGCTGTGAGTGACGCCTGCGTCAGGGGACACTCCGCATAGCAGCAGGCGTGCACAATGGGCAGGCCCCACCCAGCCAGGCCTCGAGAGCAAAGACAGGGGTGGGGGTTCCCAGAGAAGGACGCCAGCTTTCAGACAACACGGAAACCCCACCTGGGTCTGCAGCCTTCAAACCACAACACGAAAACCCCACTTGGGCCTGCAGCCTTCAGACCGTGACACAGCAACGACACAGAAACCCCACCTGCTGCCCACCTTAAGGATCTCAGACTTGGCAGCCCCGCAATTGTGTGAGCCAATTCTTAGAATCAATCACTTTCTTTACACACTCACACAAAAATGTGCCATAGATGCACACACGTGCAACACAATCAGGCATACAAACACACACACACTCCCACCCACACAGTCACACGCACACTCACAGTCACACACACACTCCCACCCACCCACAGGCACACTCACAGTCACATACTCCCACCCACACACACAGGCACACTCAGTCACACACACTCCCACACACAGGCACACTCAGTCACACACACTTCCACCCACACACAGGCACACTCACACGTGCACTCGGCTGTCCTCCCTGTCAGCCTCTGTGATGTACCTGCAGGGACAGCTCATTGGGTGAGCACCCAGGGGCCCTGGGGTCAGCCCTCATGTCTGAGGAGCGTTCCAGGGCACGTGAGGCCCACTGTGGCCTCTGCAGTCTCCAGGAGGCACCGGGGGCCTGAGGAGGCCCCCAACTTGCTGCCAGCTCTCTAGAAAAGAATGCAGACACGTCCCGGAAGCTGAAAGAGCCTCGAGTGCATCAGTTGGCACGCATGGGCACTGACGGTCCAGAACAGCTGGGTCACGGAGCATCCCTGGAGATGTAGGCACGGCTCAGCCCATGTGCACATGCCCTCCCTGCAGCGTGAGTCCAGGGAGCACCCGCGACTCTGAGTCCTCAACCACCCGCCTCCCTGCCAGGTCAGGCCTGGGGATGGGGGTCTGGGCGCCTCGGTCCTCCCAGGTGAAAGCCGGGACACCACCCTCACAAGGATTACCGGGAGGGGGACTGCCCCCAAGGGCACCTGGAGAAGAGGGAGCCGATTCCGGAGTGCCCCATGTGAGGTCCCTGATGGTGGCTCCTTCGGAGATGACTGGAGAACCACGCCTGAGATTCCACCGGCCCTTGTCACACCAGTGACTCCACCATCCCTTACCACACCTGAGATTCCCCTGTCCCTCCCCATGCCGGCGACTCCACCGTCAGCAGGAGCCCAGGGACGAAGGTGGCAAGCAGGAGCGGAGCCCGTGTCTTAACCATGCTTTCATATTTTCTGTATCTGATCCTTTGACATCTGGAACCTCACTGGCCCGAGAGGCCTGCGCCTGCCGGGTGAGCGATTTCCGAGAGCTAGTGAGCACCCGCCGCGCGTCTTTCCAAGTGCAAACCGGGTGACGCGAGTCCACAGCCCACTGCCTCTGTCCTTCACTCTGGGCTGCCATCCTCCCGCTCAGCCACTCGGGAGGATGGTCCCTGCCCCAGAGCTGCTGAGACGATGGAAGCCAGGTCCCCCAGGCCTGCTCACCTGGCCTTGCCCGTTCCTAGCCACGTCCCCCTCACACCCTCTGCCTCCTGCCCAGCCTGGTGCCTCGCAGGTGGCCCTGCCTGGTGGTACCCCCTTCTCTGGGATCCGTGCGTAACAAACCATCTCACCAACGGCCGTTGTCTCCTGGCCTGCTGGCTGCGCTGTCCTGAATAACGACAAAGCCACTTGGAGACCAGGGCAGGCGGTGGCAGCCCGTTCCCACTCAGTGTCTGATCTTGCAAAGCAGAGGATGCACCCGTCACAGGGGCCCGTCTCATTGTTCTACGTGGAGCCGGAAGATTCTGGCTGATGGGCAAAGCCAGCATGAGGCTGTGAGCCTGGAGAAACCTGCCGGTCTCCGCAGCACCCTGCGCTGGTGCTAACTATCCCGTCCGTGTCCTCACTGCCGCGCTGTCCCGCCGTCCTGCCCGTTCAGAGGCGTTTGGGAGGAAACGTGACACGATCACTGTTGGTTTCCAGACGTCGAGTCCACGCAGCTCCGGGTGGCTTTGCAGCTGCTTTGGCAGAACAGACACACTTAGGTTTCATCAGGGCCTCACCTGAGCCCCAGCTCTTTCCCGTGCGATTTGTAGGCGACACAGCCCAGGCTCTCAGGGACAAAGTCCTTCCTCGCACACCACGCTGCAATCCGCCAGCCCTTCTATTGGGCTGCAGGCCTCGCACACAGACACAGTCAGGTTCTAAACGGAGTCCAGGACGCGGTGCCCGGCACCGCCTGGATGCCAGTGCAGCCCGGGGAGGACTGCTGGGCGTGGCCCCGGCTCTCGGTGAGGCTGTTTGTTGCTGGCCTCGGTGAAGAGCACGAGCAGCTCCTCCAGGGAGGGTGCGCTTCCTCCCTCGTCCCAAGAGTGCTGCCCTGCCGGGGCTTGGCGAGTGCGGGCACCACTCCGAGGGCCGGGCAAGGCTGGCATGGCCAGGGTCCACTTGATCCTGCCTGTTGGCTCCAAGACTGAGGTTCAAGAATGAAGCCAGTCATCTTTGTATCATGAGGAAACACGTGCCAACCGGCACCCGGTCCCACAGTGCCAGGCTGGCACCATCACAGCCACCACGTGGCTCATGTGGCAGCACAGACCAGTGGGCATGGGGGGCAGCCTCGCATGGCCACATGGGACCCAGCACGGTACCCAGGTGCCCTCTATCACCTCCTGGGTGCTGGCCCTCCCTGACTTGCAGCAGGGGATGGAGAGGGTGCAAGGGGGCGGACAGCAGGGTCGGGGGGCTTCTGGGCCAGGCCCGAGGGGCTGCGTCCCCCTCCCCAATGCCCTGTCCAGGGCTTAGCCAAAGGACTCCTAAGGGATGGTGGCTGGACGTGTAGAGGGAGGGGAGATGGTGGTGGGGGACACACAGGGGCTTGTCCATGTCCATCTAATGAGAGAGAGGGAGACAGAGACAGAGACACAAAAACAGAGACAGAGAGATAGAGACAGAGACATAAGAGAGACATGAGACATGAGAGACAGAGAGACATGGAGAGGCAGACAAAGAAACAGATTATAGAGAAGACAGAGACGAAGACACAGAGAAAGACACACAGAGACAGAGGGAGACAGAGAGAGGCGCACAGCCCCTTGCTTCTCTCCCCACGGGGTCCCTCACACAGGGAGAGCAATATGGAGGCTTTCCTGGGAGGGTCATTTGCTGACAACGTCCTGGAGACCAGCACCAAGCACTCTCATCTGCAGGAAAGACGGTGCGTGGCGCAGCCGCAGGCCCAGCAAGGAGCCAGGACCTGGGTGCTAAGCGCATCGCGCAGCCTCGAAGCTGCAGGCTCAGCGAGGAGCCAGGATCTGGGTGCTGAGCGCAGCTGGCAGCCTCGGAGGACAGGGTGTTTTCTGTGGCAGGAATAGGACGAGGAGGGGGTCCACAGGCAGGCGGCACTGAGTGTCCCCCATGTCTAGCTCCTCCCTGGTCTCCGCTGGGCATCTTCCTTCCTAAGATCTGTGCCCACGTGGCTCCCTTGGGAGGGGCTCCAGCATCTGGGGGGATGAGCAGTTTTCTCTCTTTGGGCCACTGAGTGGGATGCCCACTCACAAGACTGGAGAGACGCCGTGGCCGCTTCTGTGGCCAAAGTTCACCTCTTCACTTGGCGCTGTTTTGAGCTGGAAGCTTTGGCTCCCACGCAGACTGTGAGGAGGCGTTTCTGGGCTTTTTGCCCTTGTGGGCGGTCTGCCCTTGTAAGGGGGAAGGAGAATTTGGGGATAACTTGGCTCTTTCTTGACTGATAGGTTTAGTTGTGTGATGAACTGTGTGTTTCCTTTTGGCTGTTGTGATCTGCTAAACTGTTATAAAATCTGGTTTTCACCTTGAAAATAATGAGGATGAGACTTTAC